AAAGAAGAGCATTTTGCTATATTTATGAGCTATTGGATGTTAATATTTTTTATTTAACCTGTTGTCTACATGATACAACTCCTCCTACAAAATTGCATTTTACTAATGAAGAAATGTGTGTAAAACTGACTGACTGAATGTGTGTAAGACATATGACAACATTTATAGGATGCACTGAGGAGCCCAAACTACACTCAGTGGCCGCCAAGTGATGTTTATGGTCCATGATATTTGTACAGATTCTGTGTCATGAACAATTCTATGTGACTATATATTTCAAGTTGGAAAAGACGTTTAGTTCCCACTTTAAGTGAACCTTAGTTCCCAGGTCATCTACAAGATCGCTTAAAATGCTGATAAATTCAAGAAAAGATCAGACAAACACATGAACGTATGATTGAAATGTTAAAAAATAAGAATAAAATAAATAAAACACGTTTATTCTGTGGCACCTAAAAAAATAATTTGGCGCCTACATTTTTTTCTTATAGGAGCCAATGGCAATGTTTGGAGCCCTGAATAAATATATAGAACATTTTCAATGACTAATACAATAATGTCCATTTACATAAAACTAACCAAATGAGGTCAGCTTGTTTAACTGGATTTTGTCATTGTAAATCATTATAAATATGGAAAGAACAGCCCCATTATTCAGTCCATTAGTCATTCAGGCAGATCTCCGGGTGAATTTTAAAAGTATGTAGTTTAGTATTTCTCTATTGTGCATTTCTTCCCACAAACATATTAGACCAAAAACATTGTCAAACAAAAACAAAAGGACTTGGTCAGAGGTAGACAGGAAAACTGCATGCATTAAGAATGCATTAAAGGGGTCATATGACATTGCTAAAAAGAACATTATTTGGTGTAATGAAATGTGTTTATGTGGTTTAAGTGGAAAACAAAGGCTCTGGATTTCACATGCCGCCCAAATAATGCCGAGTTTGTCAGACACAGCTAAATTTTTGCCACATAAATACTTCAAAGCATTTCAGGCTTGATGAAAAACACACTAAACCCCAGTTCCAAAGGGGGCAATGCAATCCCAACCACATACTATACTGCAGACCTGCCTATGTTCAAGACAAAAGCTTGCCCCAACCTGCTGGGTATTTCTTCCCTGCGAGAGGTTTGTATAAAAGCTTTCAGTGGTTTTCAGAGTGAGGTAAGGTACACCTTTCTGCTTCACACTTCCCTTTAGTCTGCCACATGACTCCAGGCCGAGTGGCCAAACAGGTTTTCTTAAGCTGTGTAAGCAGCCCAGTTGTCAGACTTCCCTCGCAAGAGCTCATTGCATTCAAACAGGTGGTCGGGCTCAATTGTGTTTTATGAAGTGCTCACTTAACTAGGTGTATTCTCACTGCATTGCATCAAAAGAGAGCTGCTGTAATTCTGCACGTTTCAACATGACACCAGTTGCTTAAATCAATACTTTTGCTTGCCAAATAAACTTAAAATGCATGCCACATAAACCAACCTCTTGATTGGAATGATAAGAGGAATTGTTTAAACTACTCATTAGAAATGGTCCAAGACTATATGCTAGATTTCTGTGGCGTAACTAAAATAACTTGTCTAAACACCAAAAACTTCATTTGTATGTAATCACTATACAATTATGGTATGCCTCTGTATCACACTAACTCATCTAATGGCGCTTTTCCACTGCGTGGTACGACTCGGCACGGTACGGCTCAGTACGGTACGGTTCGGCTCGGTTTGCGTTTCCACTGCAGTTTAGTACCGCTTTAGAGTGGGCGGGATTATTCACATGTCGTTATAGTTGCGCCGCCTCTACTGCCGCGACTCCTAAAAAACTTTTTCATTCCACGTCGCCCCATCAAGCTCTTGCTGGATCCGCTCCTCTGCTATCAACGAGAGGAATGTCTGTACTTCCTCAACAGACCATGAAACAGCCATTTTTTAGTTGTTAAAAAAAGGTGCGCTCGTTCAAAACAGTTGCGTTCTATCCTTTGCTGGCTGTGCTGATTTAAATCTAGCGGTTCTTTTGTGTTTGTGTCGCAAGTTCAGTGACGCAGGTAGTGACGATTCTCTCCGGCCAATCCGTGATCAGCAGAGTTTACACGTCACGTTTTGGTAACGGTACGGTACGCTTGGAACCCCAACCGAGGTGGTACTAAAAAAAGTACCAGGTACCAGGTACTGTACCCAGTGGAAAACCCCCCAAAAGTGAACCGTACCGAGCCGTACCGTGCCGTACCATGCAGTGGAAAAGCGCCATATGAGTCATTTACTGGTCAGGTTGGTGTTGAACTTTCCGGGCTGTGTATTGCAAAATGTATGTTTGCTTTAAAACAGCTTCACGCATGTTCTGCAGCTCTCCAGTTGTTCACAAAGATATGACTGAAATCTAGATTTAAAGACCTTCCAGAAAACAATGTGCCACCTTGACTACATTGACCCACCTAAAATAAAACAACCTGAAAAAGTAAAAGCAAATGAATCTGAGTAAACATGGCCTAGAGGATAACAAAAGGACAGCAGAAAATTTCCCACAAAACTACCCCACCGCCACATCATCATCTGACAAATAAGTATGAGGACATTTATCACATCTTTAACGGGATGTATGGCCCGGTTTTGAAATGCCGCATAACAGCTGACCAGCAAAGATAAAAGCCACTCTTTGCACGCCTGATCTGAAATTACCAAAACTGTAGAGCTTCAAAATGCTCATTCCACCTCCCCCATTATGGAAAAATAAGGCTTGCGGATCAGCCCACTGTGGTAACAACTGACCTGTTAAAAACAAGCTAGGCTTCAGATCAAAATTTGGCTGCAAGCTTGACTTCAGGAAGGCAAACTTGCAGACTACAAAAAAAAATTTTTGAGATTATTTGATTTTGGTATAGATCATGTTTCTAAGCGTCTAATAATCACGTGTCTGACAACCAACAAATGCCTATAACAAAAAAATAAATACTTGTAAGTAACTTAATTTAGATAAACAACGAAATAAGCAAATTAATATACTTAAGCTATTGTCAAAATTGGTTAAATAATTTCTGCATCCGGTGAGACTGAGGTGCTGGCATCAACACCTTTCGCAGGGACAAAGTTCATAAGTGTAATCAAGTAGTTAAACATTATACATTCTTTGCCGCTTTAGTGTCTCACTCACCTCCAACAACTTGCCATGTTTTCTCAGGTCAACTAATGCACATGGACATGATGTGTCTGTGTTTGGGTTAAATGATAGCAATTAGGTAGAATGATCTCTATAGAAGTCAGAATCATACATATTTCAGCATGTATTTGTGGGCATATTATCAAAATAGGGCTTATGATTGGTCTAATTCAGCATATTTGCCTACATTCAGTCAGAAAGGCTTTTGAAATGTGACTGAATGAAAAAACTATTTACCTAGAACCATTATAGCTCTGTATATCTGAAGTAGCTAAAACTCTTTACAATGTAGAATAAAAGAATAAAAACAAACCTGAAACTTAAAAGAAATAACAAGGGAAAACAGGAATAGGCCATTGCACCAAAAAAAAAAAAAAAAAAAAAAAAAAAGTCCACAATAAAGTTATTAATTACGGACCACAGGTTAAACAGGAGTAATTTGCACTTACTTATACCCTTTTAAAAAGACGTCACTGAAATGATACAAATATAATTAGATTTAAAAAATTAAAAAAACTCATAAAAAATAAATATTATATTGAGGCGTCTAACCTCATTAGCACTAAAGCTAACTGACAGAAACGCCATCACATACATCTGCTCTTTAAAGGAGAGAAAAATAAGAGTACTTAAACGGTTATATGCACTTAAATACACATGCATAATCAATAAATCAACCAAAATAAGTCATTTAGAGTCTATAAAAAGATGTAGGTCCTGTTTTGTGGGTGTTTAAATGCTAGTTCCGCTCAGCATATGCCAAACCGAGTCAACAGGAAAAAACAGAGAATAAATGCTACATTTTCATCACTTTAGATACAAGTTAAAGCCATTAAAACTCAGTTAACGCCACATATAAAGGTATTTATGACTGACACGTAGGAGTAATAAGCCAAACATAAGGAAATAGAAGATTAAAAACTGACCTGAGCAAAAATAGAATAAAAGTCGAAACAGAGAGGTGAACTGACTTGCTGAAAGGGGAAACTCTTCGTCGTCTTGTGTATTTACTGGGGTGAATTCATCTTATCTTGTCATAATTTTGAAGTCGTGTGTCCTTCAGGACTCAACGCTTCATGTCTGCGCGCGCGTGTGTGATCAAATCAGGTGAGCGCGCAGCGGGCACTGCCTCATAGATGGCGAGCACGCGCATAAAGACGCGCGCGCGAGCGTGCACGAATCCACCCAGTACAGCTTAGGATGGGCAAGTTGTTTTTTTTATTTTTTTTAATTGCATACATTTTTGGAAGATTTTGCGGGAACAATTAATAACATATATACTTATTAGTAGTAATAAACCATTAAAATCTACAAGAAAATATAATTATTATCATTATTCAGTCTTTTATATTCAGTCAATTATTAGTCATTATTAAAATAAAGTACATTTTCTGTCCAGTAGGATGATTTGATGATTTTCAAGATTTTTATATATAGAAATCAGCCCAAAATAGTAAAATAATTTTTTTTTTTTAGAAAATTGAATAAATGAAAGCTGAATAAATAAGCTTTCCATTGATGTATGGTTTGTTAGTATCAGACAATATTTGGCCGAGATACAACTATTTGAAAATCTGGAATCTGAGGGTGCAAAAAAATCTAAATATTGAGAAAATCACCTTTAAATTTGTCCAAATGAAGTCCTTAGCAATGCATATTATTAATCAAAAATTAAGTTTTGATATATTTATGGTAGGAAATTTACAAAATATCTTCATGGAACACGATCTTTACTTAACATCCGAATGATTTTTGGCATAAAAGAAAAATCGATCATTTTGACCCATACAATGTTACTTATGACTGTTTTTTTGGTCCAGGGTCACATATAATTTTTTTTTTTTTTCCGGTTATTTATTGGTTTGTTTACTAATTGCATTCTTTTGGGCTTCTGTTTCTATAAGTAATTAACAATACAAATCTATAGCAAACCATCATTGAATCACAAAAATCAGTGATGACAAAAATCATTAAAATCACCCTATTGGACAGATAAGGATACCATATTTGAGGAATCTCACACATTTTCTGATAAGTTTAAACCAGAAAATACACTATATATATATATATGTATGTAATATAATATGAGTGGGTTAATATAGCTTTTATGATGTAAAATACACAGAAACACAATCACGACACAATGGAACATTCTTTTTTTTGTGCACATTAGTTATACAATGCTGGAGGTTTCATCTGTGGGTTGCAACAGGGTTCAACTCTTTGAAGAGTCATCAGGTGCTATAGGCACTACATAAATAGACCTCTGCATAATTGAGGTCAGGTCTATTAGATTTCTGTCAGTGCGTCTCTGACAGACTGTTTCCATGATTAAAAATGTAACACTGCCTTGACTTCAGTTTACGCTGCTGTTATTTTATTTATATTAGGAGCTGGCAGTAAAAGTGTAATACACACGTCTCACAGAGGATTGTAATTACATGCACACCACTCAGTGTTTACATCTGTTTGTTTCTTTAATCATGGGATCATTAAACCAAGAAGAATCATCTTTTGGCACTGGTTACAGTTCATAGTATCCTATTTTATTCCAGTTCTAATTTCACATGAATTATGCACTATTCTTGACTGGCCAATATCACATTCCCTACTATGACCACCACCATTATTCTGAGTAGCATCATAAATGCAGCGGACATTGCAAGTGTATAATCAATGGTACTTCAGTATCATATATCTCGCATATCAATATAAAATTCATCTTGCTAATTTTCTGTTAAATATTTCTTTCCTTTAAACCCCATCATTGACCCATATCACAACCTAACCCTTCCTGGATAGTAACAGGCCCACCTAGAGGTGGCAAAGCTAACTACAGCATTGAGAAAAACAGGATTTGCATGCAAATTCATATCACTAACATCTGTAGTAAATATAAAATCTTACTGACAAGCACAGTGTTTAAAAAAAGATGATTGTTGGAGGTTAAAAAAAACATTGTTAAAAGACTTGTCTATGACAGAATCTGCAGTATGATTTCACTGCAGTGTCTCCACATTAACAGAGTTAAGGGTGACATCATTGAAGATACTAAGAGCTCTGATCTGGTTGAGCTCACGGGTCCGATGTTTGAATTCCAGAAGGTGCGCTTTGTTCACAGCCACTCTGAATTCAGTGTCAGTGCATAAGATCTTCAGCTGGAATTCAAAACAAATTTAATCAGTTGCAATTGAACAAGCATGGAACAGAGCATGTAGTTTTGACCAAACATGGCAGGAGACAAATGCATAACCTTGCAAAAGAGTTTTGTTGCAGTATTTTTAGTGATGCTATTTCAGGACCTCTTTTTCTGCTTTTACACACTGACATCCAGTTATCTGATACCTTAGACCTTCTCTAATGTCTTTAAACACAATGAGGGCCTGACAGTAAATATTTAAGACATTTGTTTAATCTAAATAAAACCACCGAGATGAAAAAGAAACAAAATTGTTTGGTGCCATGCTCACCTCAAAAGGCTTTCCTGGGACAAACGGGAAGGAGGGGAGCTCGCGCTCTTCTCTGCCCCACTGGTTTCCAATCATGCTGTTTCGTACAATCACTTGCCTTCCGCCTTCATTGAAGCGAGGGTTTAGATGAAACACAATGTCGTTGCCTTTGTTTAAATTAACTGTGAAACTAATTGGGAGAGATAATATAAGAATACACATAAAAAACAAAGGGGACATCACAAATAAGAAGCTTGTGATAATTGTTATATAATAACAATGAAATCAAAACTGGCCACGTGCAATTTCTTAAAGGGGTCATATGACGTTGCTAAAAATAACATTATTTTGTGTATTTGGTGTAATGCAATGTGTTTATGTGGTTTAAGGTTAAAAAAACACATTATTTTCCACATACTGTACATTATTGTTTCTCCTCTATGCCCCGCCTTTCGGAAACGCGTCGATTTTTACAAAGCTCATCGGTCTGAAAAGTGAGGTGTGCTCTGATTTCTTTTGGAAGGCCAAACAAAGTAGTTTCGGTTTCACAACGAAACAAAGCGTCACACACGGCCGGCTTGAGTGAGCGGCGGCGGGTGGGCTTGCGGCAACCACATGTGACGACCCCGGGCTGGACTCCGCTTCGTCCACGGTGAAAGCCGATCCGGCGATCCACAGCGCGAAGTTGATGTATTTCCTCAGCGACCAGCACGGATCAGCTCCAGGCATGACGAAGTGATATCGTCCACTTTTGGAAGGTCAAACAAAGTAGTTCCGCTTTCACAGTGAATCACACAGCGCCTTCACGACATGGCGGCGGCGGCAACAACAATACTACAGCGAGAATAAAAGTTACGCCTTCTTTCTTTGCGTGAACATTTGGGTGGCGTTGTGCAAATCTTCCCGCATCGTGACGTAGATATGTGGGGGCGTGTTAGAACGAGCCGTTTTAGGTAGGTGTGGCTGACTCTGAACTTTTATAAAGAATATCTCTTTGGATTTGAGACTTTAGTCTTTGCAACTTTACAGATCTTCTTTATGCACTAAGAGCTTGTAACACTCCAAAGAGAAAGGAAAAATTGAAATCGCATCATATGACCCCTTTAATTTAACTTTATTTAATACTAGTTCTTGATCTCACTGTGAACAGTTCATCGGTGCACATTATTTACAAGCAAAATGTTTGTCTTTGTAATCTTACCAAAATGTATCAACACAATTTATTATGTACTTTATCATGTATATTAAACTTATAAAAATTTGTAGACCTAAATTTAAACTATGTATTTAAACTGCATATAAAATTTCCATTCACGTGGATTACAGTTTTAACATAAACTAATTAATAAACTTAATGTGATGCATATTTGTCAGTCACACAAAAACAAGTATGATTTCTGTAATAGTACTAATAATCTTTTTTTGTTTTGTTTTATTAGAACTAATAATAGTATCAGTAATTAGTTTTATTAGGGCTAACAGTACTAATAATAGTACTAATGTGTTTTAAAAACACAATAACCGCGTTTATATATTTATTTATCATAACTGAACAATTGAATATTGCTTGTTCCACAGCTAGCCATATTTTAACGGTATTCATACTTTTTAACTCAATGAGTGTAATTGTTTTTACAGAGAAAAATGTATGCTGAATAAAAGCATTTTGAAAAACTATTGAAATAAAATAGACAGATTGAAATAAAATAGATGCAAATAGTTAATAATAAACCAGTGCAGAAATCTTACCTATTTCATTTTTGTATGACATATATGCATCACAGGTTTATTAGTTTATGTAAAACTGTGTAATCCAAATGGATGAAATTTCATTCGCAATTCAATACATGAATCTTAAATTTAGGCCTAAATATTAATAAGTGCATGTACTGTATCGTTAATGACAGATGATTGCTAAACTGTTGTTTATTGTGTTGTTGTTGTTGTTCTTACTGTTTAGCATTAGGTTTGACCTCTCCAACGATGGTGATGAGCATCTTGTTATAGGCTCCACTTTGTAGCGGCAGGTCAAATGGCACAGTCTTCAAAAAAAAAAGTAAATGCATGGTAAAAGGGCATAACTAAGAACCACTGCACTGTATTTAACACAGAACGTTCACTCAACAAAAATCTAAAAATGTGGAGTTTCACCAGCCATGGGTATTTAAACTGTATTCTACAGAACAAACAATATGATGGTTGTACAAATCCAAGAAGAGTGAAAACATCTTACTAGTGCTCTTGGAGCTTGGCCAGGAGCAGCATAAGGGCCGGTTTGTGGTGCAGGTCCAGGCCACCCAGGAGCGGTAGGCTGCCCAGGCTGTCCAGGCCATGCTGGTTGGTTTGGCTGCGCAGGCCAGGTGGGGTTAGCAGGCTGACCAGGCCAGGTGGGGTTAGCAGGCTGACCAGGCCAGGTGGGGTTGGCTGGTTGGCCGGGCCATACTGGACCTCCTGCCTGCTGATTATTTTGCTGTGGGAAGTCAAGGGCATCTGAAAGCTGAAACGGAGTATAATGGAAATTATAACATGATATTTGTTGTGCTACATTGGATAAATAGAATGACTGAGGTGATAAAAACGGTACTTACATCCATAATATCTGAAATCCAGACAAGAAGGCATTGTTAATTTTGCAAAAGCAATTTATTATGCACTGAGTTGGCCATGCTATACTGTTAAAATATGTTTTTTTTTAATGAAAACATTATTTTATTAAATTAAAGTTCATCCAAAATTTAAAATTTGCTGAAAGGTTACTCACCCTCAGGCCATCCAAGATGTAAATCAGTTTGTCTCTTCATTTGAATGATTTAGAGAATATTTTGCATGGCATCGCTTTCCAGTGGATCCTCTGCAGTGAATGGGTGCCGTCAGAATGAGATTCCAAACAGCTGATATAAACATCACAGAAATCCACAACACGACTCCAGTCCATCAATTAATGTCATAAAGATATCCATCGTTAAGATGTTATTAACTTAAAATTGTTGAGTCTTCTATCCATAAAATTGCTTTCTCCATGCAATGAAAAAGTCATCTCGTCTGAATCAGGACAGAAATATGCACAAATCAAGCACCATTTACAAGTGAAAACAGTTCTAAACAAATATGTTTTTAATGTGCGAGGACAACATGATGGACTTTTTCACTGGAGGAAGCGTTATTATGGATTGTGGACTGGTATTTTGCCCAGAAACAGTTTGAAGTTAAAAACATCCTAATTATGGATTTAACATGCAGCTTTTCCCTTCACAAGAAGTTAACTGATGAACTGGAGTCGTGTTGTGGATTATTATGATGTTTTTATCAGCTGTTTGGACTCTCATTCTGACGGCACCCATTCACTGCAGTGAGAAAGTGATGTGATGCTGAATTCCTCCAAATCTGTTCTGATAAAGAAACAAACTGTTCTACCATCTTGAATGGCATGAGGTTAAGAAAAAATTTTCAACAAATTTTCATTTTGGAGTGAACTATTTCTTTAAGCAAATTCACCATTCTGAATGCACAAGGTCAATCTTTCAACTAAAACATAGTCTCTAACATATAAACTAAGGTTAATAAGGGGGCATTTGAGTGATAAAAGTAAAGCAGTTTTTGAAAACACCAATCAATTTTTGTCAATGTTTGTTTTAAAAAATGATATAAATTGTATTACTGGTTCCCTGGAGTATATTACATGCTCCCATGAGTTGATGACTCACTCATCCATGAAACCACCCACCACACCCATTGCACTGTATGAATGGTGAGCCGGAGGGGATGATTACAATAGCAGATAATGCAGTGTTATTAAAAACCCTGTGTGAATCGTAATAAATGCATACTCTTCTTAACAGAGAGGCATGTTAAATGAAAGAAAGTTCCCTTGAAATGGCTTAGGGTGCATCATAACTTACACGGCTAACATGTTTCAGCTTTTAAAGCAAGAATGTGGAATATCTGTACAAAAGTTGCACGCAAGCATTCATTTCTACAACCTCTGATCCCCTACAGCAAAAGTTTATTATTGTGCAATCTGCATTCGATTGCCACTTGAACACTGCAAGTTTAGACGTCAGTAGGCCTGCGGATTTCCCCGGGCCTGTGAACCACACAAAGGCGTGTGTTTAAAACTAGCAAAAGTACAATCTTTCTTTCAAAAGTGAATATGAAGACTGATTTGAAGACTAAGAGAAACTTTCAGTCAGGTGTATAGATGTTTGACTGATAGTGTAAGAAGTACGTATGTCACTGATTCATGTTAGCATGGTAATGTTTATGTCATACTGATTCACTTTTTACTAGTTAAAACATGAATTTAGGCCTGTGGATTTCACTGGGCCCGTGAATCACCCAAAACTAGCAAAAGTAAAACTAAACTATTTTTTTATATCTGTAAAAATCTCAATATGTCTTTCATGTCAACATGACAGGACCTCTTTCTGTTTGCATTGGCAAAACTCATCAGCCACACACATTGCTATGCAAACACAAACACCAAATTCAAATATATTAACCCTGAAGCTGCTTAGAAAGTTTTGAAAATGAGAAAAAAAGCAAAAAAAAGGCATATACCTGTATTTGTGCAGTTGGTGTCACACTGGTGCTGTTCTGTAGAAGCAGTGGGTATACAGACAGGAATTCCGGGTGAAGTTCATAAATACACTCTCACACCCCAGAAAACCCTCCCCAACTCTTCTGAGAAGAGACCACACCCACACAATACAATCACATTGCCTGATTTCCATAGGGAAATATGATCAGTCAGAGGAGAGGCGAGACTATGAATAAAGTTTTTAACAAGTATGCTGAAACGTTCTTATCTGATTGAGTCAGTATTGGCTCTTCACTATGTTCTGGAGGTTATGCACCTCAGTTCATTTGAGGTGCTTAACCTCCGGATTACACATGTGTTTTAAGGATGTGTCTGAGGAATTCAAGGAGTTTCCTTCTTTTTTTTCTTTTTTTTTTGGTTTGGTTGAACAAAAGAACCGATAAATGAAAAAAGCCAAGTTGCCTTGGCAACTAGGCAAGGATTGGAAGAGCTGTTCATAGTTCAAAACATATGTAGTGTTGCATAGTAACTGGCATTACAAGGCTGTTTATATACGAATGGACACACCTATTGATTCAATATTGCTACTTTTTTCCTACATTTTGGAATAGTACTGAAATAACCAAAAGCTATGAATTAACACAAATTGCAGTATTGTGACCAAAAATATCTAACAAATAAAACCTAAATAATATTTGAGCTTGTTTAAATTCACCACCCTTTGCCTAGATTGCAGCTTTGATTACTCATGTCAGTCAAATATATGTAGTGCACCATGGGATGCTTGTTAAACAGTATTGAAGGAGTTCCCATTTATGTAGGACATGTGAAAACTGCTTTTGCTTCACTATATGGTGGTCCACCTCATCAGATTAAAAAAAATAATAATAATAACAACAATAATAATAAATTCATCCATCCATTCATTTTCCAAACCGCTCATCCTATGTCAATGGAATGCTGGAGCATAATAATAATAATAATAATAATAATATTTTTGTGGTAACACCTTACAATAAGGTCCCATTAGTTAAGACATAAACTAACATTAACTAACAATGAGCAATACATACGTTACAGTGTGTATTAATATTTGTTAATGTTACTTAATAGAAATACAACTGTTAATTGTTAGTTCATGTTGCTAATATTATGACAACTTTTTTTAATAATGTATTGGTAAATGTTGAAATTAACATTAACTAAGATGAATAAACGCTTTGGAAGTATTTTCCATTGTTAGTTCATGTTAACTAATGTTAACAAATAGAACTTTTAAAGTGTTACTAATTTTGTAAACAAATTCAGGCAAAGGCACAATTTATATTCACCTATAAAACTAATTTTAAGAAAGATTTCGATCAAAAAGATTTGACGATCAAGAGAAACATTCAGTCAAGTGTATCCAGACGTTTTACTGGTACTGTAAGTGTGTATATCACTGATTCATGTTAGCATGGTAATGTTTATGTAATGTTAATTCAGCTTCTACTTAAAGTTAAAACAATAATTCTTAATTCTTCATGAGTGAACTATGAAGTTATTATTATTATTATTTTACCTTATTAATCATTAAATATTAATGGAAGGCTGTATTTGTCAGCAGGTTATTCTGTGTTCTGATTAAATAATGCATGGCAATCGGAGCCAGCCTTAAATCAATTATAAATGTTAAATTTTATGCATGGAGCAACTAGAGAGGGCAAGCTGATGAATATATTTCTGATATACATAACTGATTTTAATTTATATTAATTTATAATTTAAAATCCATTTTTAACCAAAATATATTTCATATAAATCCTACTGTCTTAACAGTCAAATTAACATTGTATTGTACTGGTGTATTATATTTTACATTATTATATTGTACATTTAAGATGACATGACTGAGGATAAGAAACAATATGAAACCTCAGTATAGCATTTGGTTTATCCATTGTAAAAAGACTATATCCATGGAGGAAAAAGTCTTCATAGGATATAATCATCAATAATCTAGATTTCATTTCATTTCTATTCAGTGCAGTATTTGAAAGTGAGTGCACTGCATAACCACTAGATGGCGTGTTTACTCTGTAAATAAGCATCAGTGATGTACGATTATACTAATGTGGATTTGTTTAAAGCCTTTGTTCAAATATGCCACAGCATTTTCCAGACAGCCTTAAACGCCTTAATTTGGCATTAATACAAATCAAACACAGGCTAATGTTCATGAACAAAGCTTCAATCACTCTTGTTTTTTTTCTAGAATGCTTGTACAACTTACAGCAAACCACATGCTTCCCAAATTTTCTGTATATTTAATCAAGATGTTTAACAGGAAATATGATCTATCTTACATTATGCAGGGTGTAAATTTTTACATAATGGTTCACTGACATCTATAACAATTTTTTGGCCGGCAGGGAAATGTTTATATTATCTGTTTTATTAACACTAGGGGTCAATCAAGGACTGTAAAGCAGCGGGTTCAGAGGTCATAAGGTGATTGGTTGATAGGGGTGAGGGGTCAAATGTATGTTGACCAATATTGACAACTGATTAAGCTTGATAAGATAATAAGTCTAAGAACCTAATAAACACAAGAACAATTCTTGGTGTGGACGTTTATCCTTACTAAGTTGTTCTGAGCGGACATATTTAAAAGAAAAAACGATGGATTTCTCAGATATTGTCTTTCATTAATGTCTTGCTTTATTTGTCAACTTTTGTACTATGTTCATTATATGTTGAAATCCAATATTTTGTTTAGTATTGCGGATAATTACATTGAAATCTTAGCTTATCAGCATTGGGATCATCAGCACCTGCCCTTTATCAGAACATTCAGGAATTTCACACTGTTTATAAAGTCTGTGTAACTGGATCCGGTAGGATCTGGCAGAGCCGTTGCGAAGAATTGCCTGTGAAAGCGATTAGTGTAGTCTAGGAACGCTTTACTGTATATTTTTGGACAGTATCACTGCTGTTGTGAAAACAGGAGAGAATGTGAATATTTTTCACATGGAAAGGATGCAGCTCTCTATGTACTATTATTTATGAGCTAATGTTTAGGGATCTGCTTGTTTTGTAGAGCATTCCTCCAAAATACCCCCTACCAAACAGCTTTATTGGAATTTCCTATAAGCGTCTTTCTGAGCACTAGCGTAAAGAGGTTATGTTTGTTTAGGCTTGTTTGATTATCTGAACTATTTCGCCATGTCAACAAGCAGCGTCTAATTGTTTTGTGCGAGAGCTCTCTTATCTGTCCCAGCAGAATTTTTTTTTTATTCTGGATCTCATATCTGAATTATGAGCCTCATCATGTCTGCTCTACCCCCACCACAACTGCACAAAAAGCTCCTTGTATACACGTAGCTGGCATGTTTGTTTAGGCTTGTTTGATTATCTGAACTATTTCGCCATGTCAACAAGCAGTGTCTAATTGTTTTGTGCGAGAGCTCTCTTATCTGTCCCAGCAGAATTTTTTTTTTATTCTGGATCTCATATCTGAATTATGAGCCTCATCATGTCTGCTCTACCCCCACCACAACTGCACAAAAAGCTCCTTGTATACACGTAGCTGGCCTCGTAAATGCAATATTCACTCTCTCTTTGTCATTCCCTGGAATTGCTCTGTTTTGCTGGAAGGTCATTTATTTATGTGCTCTTACAGTCAGCAAGAACAGAAAGAGCTTTCTGATCCCTGCACCTATAAACCAAATGCAATCTTGTTCCCACAGCATTTTTTAGATATAAATGATACTATATACCTCAAATCAAGTGGATTGCTAATTTTTGAGGTAATCAGAATTACATGTTAGTGGATAATAAAAGCTTGTGGCTCTTTTGACTTAGGCTATTAAGCATTGGCCAAAACACCATATCAACCACCTAGCAATGCCATGTCAACACACTGGTGACCGACTATAACACTCTAGCATCATGGCAGTACATTTTATACTACTGTTTATAGTTTCGGGTTTGACTGATTGATTTATTTATTTATTTATTTGAAAGAAATTAATACTTTTTTATTCAGCAGGGATGCATTAATTTGAACAAAAGTGACAGTAAAGAGATTTATCTGTTTATTTATTATTTCTATTTAAAAAATGTTGTTCTTTTGATTTTCTATTCATCAAAAAATCCTGAAATAAAAATCATGGTTTTCACAAAAATATTAAAGGGGTCATAGGATGCTACATGCACTTTTACAAGTTGTTTGAACTGAAATGTGTGTTGGCAGTGTGTGTACACAACCACCCTATAATGATAAAGATCCACCCAGTGTTTTTTTTAAAAATCTGGTTTATAATGTTTTGTAATGAATCTTTGCAGATCGCCTTTCCTAATAATGTGCTAATTAGCAAGTTTCACGATGAATGCGGCTAAAGTAAACAGTCTCTCTGAGAGCAGCTTGGAAGAGAGGGGCGGGGTCAGCAGAGCTCATTAACATTTAAAGGAAAATGCTACAAAAACGGCTTAATCTGAAAAGAGCTGTTTTTGACAGGATAAAAAAAAGGTGTTTTTTACACTACCATTGAGAAATTTTAACCAAAATATGTTACAGACTTTTCATTAAGACCCCAAAGAATCATATTAACTTGTGGAAAATGGGCATCCTATGACCCCTTTAAACGGCACAACTGTTTTCCAAATCTTACTTGAGCAGCAAATCAGCATATTAGAATAATTTCTGAAGGATCATGACACTGAAGACTGGAGTAATGGTGGCTAAAAATTCAGCTTTGCCAACACAAGAATAAGTCACACTTTAAAATACTTCAAAATAGAAAACAGTTATTTTAAATTCCAATAATAATTTCAATACTACTGTTTTAGTGTATTTTTGTTCAAATAAATGCACGCTTCGTGACCTTAAAAGACTTCTTTCAAAGACAATGAAAAATTTTTTTTTTACCAGCCCCAAACTTTTGAACAAGTAAAAAAAATTTTTTTTCCTATTTTTTGACTTACAAAACATCATTGAGATCCAAATGCAAAAATAAAAAGCAGAAATGAAACCATAACACAAACACTGCACAAATCTTTAAATTAGGCTAATTTGCTCTTGATGATGTAGGAAGATTGTGATCGAGTGAATTAGAGTTGAAAGAAATTAGTTTGAAGCTTGTTTCCAAGACTGGAACGATAAAACGGGT